TGGCCCCTGCACTGCCTCCCCCCGCGACACCCCTGTCATCCCCAGTCACCCTGCACTGCCCCCTGACACCCTGCACTGCCCCCTCCCTGGGGACACCCCCGTCACCCTCCTGCAGGGCACTTCCCCAAACCCAGAGACAGCCCCTGTCACCCCTACAGGGTACTGGGGCACTGCCCCAACCCCAGGGACACCCCCTGTCACCCTCCTGCACTGTGCCCTCCCCAGGAACACCCCCGTCTCCCCCTGCAGGGCACTGCTCCCTCCCCGGGGACATCCCCTGTCACACCCCTGCAGGGCACTGCCCAGACCCTGGGGACATCCCCTGTCTCCCCCTGCAGGGAACTGCCCCAAACCCGGGGACACCCCCTGTCACACCCCCTCCAGGGCACTGCCCCGACCCTGGGGACACTCCCTGCCCCCCTGCAGGGCACTGCCCCCTCCCCAGGGACCCCAGCCCACCTTGATGTTCTTGGTGGCCTCGAAGCCATCCAGCTGGTTGAGCAGCTCCAGCATGGTGCGCTGCACCTCGCTGTCCCCCCCCGACCCCCCCTCCAGGCGGGAGGAGCCGATGGGATCGATCTCATCCATGAAGATGATGGAAGGGGCGTGTTCCCGGGCCATCACAAACAGCTCCCGCACCATCCGGGCACCTGGGGGGGGCAGAGAGGCCTGAACCCCAACAGCACAGCCCAGGCCTCTGCTTGTCGCACCCTGGCCCCCCCAGCACCCCCAGACCTCATGGGGGGGCAGCACAAGAAGCCACCTCCTCCCACCGACCCCATTTTTACCTTCACCGATGAACTTCTGGACCAGCTCGGAGCCAGAGACCCGGATGAAGGTGCAGTCGGTGTGATGGGCCACAGCCCTGGCCAGCAGGGTCTTCCCAGTGCCTGGGGGACCATAGAGCAGCACCCCCTGCAAGGGTCCATGGAGAGCTCAGCACTCCTGTCCCTGCCTGCACAGGCAGCCACACCCTGACAGGGGACACCCCAGGGGTGATACAAGTGTCACCAGCCCTCAGAGGGTCCCCACACACTGATATCCCCCCCCACAGCACCACTTGGAATCATGGAATGAGTTGGAAGGGACCTTAGAGATCATCTAGATCCAACCCCCTGCATGGGCAGGGACACCTCCCACCAGCCCAGGTTGCCCCATCCAACCTGCCCTTGGACATTTCCATCATCCACAGCTTCTCCAGGAAACCTCTTCCAGGGTCTCCCCACCCTCAGAACTTCATGGAGTCATGGAATGGGTTGGAAGGGACCTTAAAGATCACCTAGATGCAACCCCCTGCCACGGGCAGGGACACCTCCCACCAGCCCAGGCTGCTCCAAGCCCCATCCAACCTGCCCTTCAACACTGCCAGGGATGGGGCAGCCACAGCTTCCCTGGGCAACCTGGGCCAGGCTCTCACCACCCTCACAGGGAAGAATTCCCTCCTCATGTCTCACCTAAACCCCCCCTCAACCATCCATCCCCCCTTGCCCTCTCACTACAAGCCCCCCCAGCAGCCCCTCCCCACTTGCCTTGGGCTGGGCGATCCCCAGCGCCTCGAAGAGCTCGGGGTGTTTGACTGGCAGCTCAGTCCCCTCCTTGATCTCCTTGATCTGTTTGTCCAAACCCCCAATCATCTCATAGGTGGAATCTGGAACCTTCTCCACCATCATCAGGGACACCAGAGGGTCCACTTTGTTGGGCAGGATCTTGTGCAGGGTGTAGCTGTCGTTGCGAAGGGCCACGCGGCAGTTGGGGGTCACCTGGGGGGGGGTGGGGGTGGCTAGAGGGGACCCCTCAGTGTCCCCAGGGAGGGGAGGGGTCCAGCAGGTCAGGTTGCCCCAGGGGGAGGGGGCAGGTCCCCTCCCACAGCCCCAGAACACTCACGTCATTAATGTCAATGTTCTTGTCCACATCCACCACGAACTTCCCCTCTGGGTGCACCTGAAAGTGGGGGGAGGTCATTGCTTTGGGATGTCCCTTGTCCTGCACCCAACACCCACCCAGCTGCTCAAGGGGGGGAGGAAGGAACCTCAGAGCTCATCCCCCTCCCCCAGGACCCACCTGCCTCCAGGAAGCCCTGATGCAGCTGCTTCTCACCAGCCTGGAGAAGCTCTGAACCCAGGAGAGCTCCTTGGAGGAAGAGCTGTCCCACCCCTTGGGTGCTCCATCCCCCCAGAGCTCGTGCTCACACTGGTCCCAATCCCTGGGGGGTCCAAGGGAGGGGTCTGAGGGACACCCCCAACCATGCTCTGCCCCAGCCCCCCTGTACCTTGACCAGCACTTTCTTCTTGTCCATGGCTCTGACCACCTCTCCCACGTAGGAGCCCTGTTCCTGCAGCAGCTGCAGCTCCTCCCGCAGCAAACGCACTGGGAGAGGGAACGACAGGGTGCTGGGGTTGGGAAGGGACCCCTGGAGATCACCCATCCAAGCCCTGCCAGAGCAGGGTCCCCCAGAGCAGATCCCACAGGAACACGTCCAGGAGGGCTGGGAATGTCTCCAGGGATGGAGACTGCAGCCTGTCCCAGGGCTCTGCCACCCTCCCAGCAAAGAACTTTCTCCTCATCTTCACCTTGACCCTCCTGGGCTCCAGTTGGTGCCCATTGCCCCTTGTCCTGTCCCTGGGCACCCCTGGGAAGAGTCTGGCCCCATCCTCCTGCCACCCCCTGCAGATATTGATCAGCACTGAGCAGATCCCCCCTCAGCCTCCTCCTCTCCAGGCTCAACAGCCCCAGCTCTCCCAGCCTTTCCTCCCAGGCAGATGCTCCAGCCCCCTCAGCATCTCAGTGCCCTGGGCTGGACTCTCTCCAGCAGCTCCTGGTCCTTCTGCAACTGGGCAGCCCAGAACTGGGCCCAGTTCTCCAGATGGGGCCTCCCCAGGGCAGAGCAGAGGGGCAGGAGAACCTCCCTGACCTGCTGGCCCCTTCCTGATGCCCCCAGGATGGAATTGGCCTTCTTGGCTCTTATGGTTTCATGCTCATCCTTCAGGGAAGGACTTTTCTGCCCCCAGGCAGAACATTTTATTACATTATCCATCAGCTTTTTCTTCTACCATGTGATCAGCTGAGGACCAAACCACTGGATCTCAAGCAGCATCCACCAGAGCAGCACATCTGGGCCACATCTGGAGTCAAAACATCCTAGTCCAAATGTTCCCATGGAAAAATCCCCGTTCCCACCCAGAACCACAGTGGTGGCAGGAGGCAAAGCTGGAGGCTCCATCAGAGGCTCCTCTGTGCCTGGAGGAGCAACCCCTGGACATGGGCTCCCTTCAGAGCACCCCATGAGCCACCAACTCATCCTGGGCCACCTGCTGGAACTGGGCACCACTGGGAAGAGTCTGGCCCCATCCTACTCACACCCCCAAGCCCTGGGGCAGCACTGACAGGGCCACCAGCCCAGGGGCCACCAGCCCAGCCCTGGGTGAGGAGGAGGAGAAGCAGATCTCAGCTCTACCTTTGGCATTCAGCTCGTTCCTCTGGGCCTGCAGGCGCCTCAGGTTCTGGCTCTTCTCATTCACAATGAGCTGCAGGGACAAAAGCTTTACTGGAGCCCTCAGGAGACCCTCAGGACTTGGTCTTTTGTCCTGGGACAGGGACCCGAAAGGGGACAGCCCATCCCAGCAGGACGTGGCCAAACCCCAAAGCCAAGGGCTGGGCAACACCTCCCACACCTGCACCAGGACTCATCTCACACCCCCCCCACCCCAAAGTTTGGGTTCTGCTGGGAGAGGCCACCCTGAGGTGCTGCCTCCAGAGAGGGGCACTTGGCTGTGGGTGCTCCTGAATCCCAGAATCCCAGGGGTTGGAAGGGAGCTGGAAAGATCCCCCAGCCTAACCCCCCTGCCAGAGCAGGGGCACCCAGAGCACATCACACAGGATCCAGGGGGGTTGGAATGTCT